GAGCAAGAGGGTGAGCCTTACACGTGCGAAATTTCGAGGGGGTACTTCCAACTGACTTGTGCACGGCACCCTACTAACCGGTCTCTAGCGATGTGCCAGATTTGAGCACAATCGGCCCAGCCGTTCTCGAGATCTGGAAACGACCCCTGCACGTGGGCACGTGCAGCAGCATCCCAACTCTGGCACATGGAAATGCATTGCTTAGTGGGTGCCTACCTATATGCAAACTTTTAGCGCAATCGGCGAAGTAGTTACCGAAATATTGCAACTATTTCAAAAGTGACACCTCTTCGTTTTGCACGTGGCACGTGCATAAGGGGTCATCCACATGCTTCGGGAATAGTCCAATACTTGGTAGAAGGAATGAAGCTACCCTACAAAAATTACCGCAGCATTAGAATCGACAAAAACAGGCCATTGCTCGGGAACGGTAAGGGCTACGGGGGTGAAATTTTCGCTACAAGTCGGACGCGTGCACTCATTTGTCGTATTAAATTTTCGAGGGTGTGGGTTCAGCGGTGTGCACGTGGTGGGGCCGCGACCGGCGCCGAGCAGAGGGCACGTGCTTTAGGCTCAGTTGTTCGCTTAAAAACTGACTGGAAATAATCAGAGCCGGGAGGTCATTGACCTTTGACAACGAATACCGGCGCCGGGCACCCCTCGCCAAGGGGATTCGCCAGTAAATACGATAAATTTGTGTTTGCAATATCTCAGCCGTTTCTGGGCCGATTTAGCTGAAACTTGGACTGTCGGTGGTAGTGTAGGGTAGGGTAGGGTAGGGTAGGGTAGGGTATGGGTAGGGTAGGGTAGGTTAGGGTAGGGTAGGGTAGGGGATTGTAGGGTAGGGTAGGGTAGGGTAGAGTAGGGTAGAGTAGGGTAGGGTAGGGTAGGGTAGTGTAGGGGTAGAGTAGGGTAGGGTAGGGTAGGGTAGGGGTAGGGTAGGGTAGTGTAGAGTTAGGGGTAGGGTAGGGTAGGGTAGGGTAGGGTAGGGTAGGGGTAGGGGTAGGGTAGGATAGGGTAGGGGTAGGGTAGGATAGGGTAGGGCAGGGGTAGGGTAGTGTAGGGTAGGGTAGTGTAGGGGTAGGGTAGGGTAGGGTAGGGTAGGGTCGGGTCGGGTAGGGTAGGGTAGGGTAGGGTAGGGTAGAGTAGGGTAGGGTAGGGAAGGGTAGGGTAGTATAAGGGTAGGGTAGGGTAGGGTACGGTAGGGTAGGGTAGGGTGGGGTAGGGTAGGGTAGGGTAGGGTAGGGGATTGTAGGGTAGGGTAGGGTAGGGGATTGTAGGGTAGGGTAGGGTAGGGTAGTGTAGTGTAGGGGTAGGGTAGGGTAGGGTAGGGTAGGGTAGGGGTAGGGGTTGGGTAGGGTAGGGTAGGGTAGGGGATTGTAGGGTAGGGTAGGGTAGGGTAGGTTAGGGTAGTGTAGGGATAGGGGTAGGGTAGGGTAGGGTAGGGTTGAATTAAGTAACATCCTAATCTTACAAAGGGCTCGAACAACTCGCATGCATCACCATCATACTTTACAGTTCAATTAAAAGCAGTTACCCAGTTCTACACAAATAATACCAGCAAGTGTCTACACCCAAACTAATGCATCCGTTAATCATACATATCAAAACATACAGTTATCGCGTAAACCTGTACCTCTAGTACTCATAAATTTCAGAAAGAAACAGAAAGAAAAGAAAGAAATTCAGAAAGAAAAGGAAAGACTACGCTCGCTTTGCTCGCTCCGTAATCAATCGATTCATATCATCAATCTGAACTTAGGTATTTACGAGTGAAGAGTTTTCATGGCTTTAGAAGTTACATGTCTATCAAAAGTTTTTTGTAAAACTGGTGGTTACCCCAAATGACCTAAGATGCCCTCAGGGGTCTAAGGTGGGGTTAGCGGTGCAGGTTTTTAATTCCAACTTCAATATTTACCTCCTTCACAATGTTTCAAAGTGTTTAAAATAGCATGCATCCAAAAGAGTTGCAGTTCAATTTTCATCAATTTACGTAAAAAGGAGGAGTCGCGAAACTGACCTGACCTTAGGTCAACGATATACCAAAATACGAAGCATGTACAAGATTTAGGGAAACTGTCGCCCTTATAAAGCGCTTTATTGAGTTCTAAGGCATCAGTCGGCTGGTGTAGCTATGACGAGCATATGACAACTTTTATTGAGGTTAGGTCACTTGACATGCCCTGGTGACCTGATTTTGACAGAATCAGACCTGATATCTTAACTTCTGCAGAAAAGAAGAGTTAAACTGTGCCAAAAAGCCTGTGAATAGTGTCACCATTCATTATTGATTGGTGGATAGCCGCAAAGAGGGTGTTCAAACGAGAAGTCTCAAACGCAGACTTCTAGGCACTGTGCCTCAGAAGTCTGCGGGTGCCCACCGCCATCTGTGAGTGCCCACAGGCGTCTGTGAGTGCCCACAGGCGTCTGTGAGTGCCCACAGCCGTCTGTGGGTGCCCACAGCAGTCTGATGGGTGCCCACAACCAGCCTGTGAGTGCCCACAGACTAGCTGTGGGTGCATACAGCGCACCGTGTTTACCATCCGGCCATGGGAAACGGTGCGCAGCTCGGAAGCTGAGCACAGTGCTTTGAAGAAAGGATGTTATGCTTCGTTGTTATGCTTCGATACAAAATGCACTCATGGATGCTTTGTTTTGAGTTGTCCTCTGACCCCTCTGATGTGTCCTCAGCACGCACAAATCCTTCCCGCAACGCTTCAAGGCCTCTGTTCAGGTCTGGACGGTTACCTTCATCCGACTCGGGTAAGCTGTAATCGAGGCATGTATTTGAGCATCTGTGCAGGGTGAGGTCAGTTTGAGAAGCTTGGTGTGTCCTGTCCCTGGAGACGAGCTCAGCCTCGGATGGCGCACCATGAGGTGACCGCCCAGACCAATGTCACACCCCCATTCCTAGCTGCACCCTTCCGGCTCTGAAATGGTCTCACTACGCTGACAGACTGTAACCCTACAAGCCAAACAGACTTCAATTGGGCAATTTCGGGTTATGTTCCTAAGCCATTTCAGGTCTATGGAACAAGAGGATGTGGGAGACCAATTGGCCTGATTTGCATGTGGCATTACCGCATTGTGCGCCGCAGCAGTGGGCCTCGTTTAACCTCTCTTTTGGACTGACACAATCCGAAGAGAGGGGCTATACTCAAACCATCGAAAATCAAATTATGCAGTGTAACACTAACAAATTGAAAATGTCATAGAAGTCATCTAAGTGATGTGAGGGTCGCTATTGCGAACATCGACTGATTTCAATGTGTTTTTGGTAACTTTATAGCTATGTCATTACTTCAGGGTACAATTTTGGCAGAAGATGACAGGAAAAAATGTATCTACCAGAAGATAAAGATATGCTCGTATGTGTGACGTTCTATGAAAATATAGGTAACGGCCGCGCCCCACTGGGGTCTGTGTATAACACGCCCTACTGGAGGGGGGGGGGGGGCTATTCATAGCCCCCCCTCCTAACTCCGAAACTACTGGGCCGATCGTCAAAATTCGAACGGCGTCTGAAAGCCCCGGAAAAACTGTCGAACGAAACCTAATTTCATTGACCTCGAGGTCACCGATGACGTCACAGGTCAGGTCAAAGTAAAAATTATTAGCATTTTGGCTTGTTCACATTTTGGGCTCTGGCCGCCGTCTTACAAGTCAGATCAGGCTCATTTTTGGTTTCCACACTCGTAATCAGATGCTTTAGATACCTTGTGGGTATCAAACTTGTACTTTGATTTTCAGGTCAGGGTCAGGTCATCACAGGTCACGGAAATATTATATCATGCGTCGGTCACGTGACACATGTTTTATGGTCCATTTAGGGCATAGATTTCGAATTTGATGTCGTCTGTGTCATTCGAGGTCATTTTGAGTCGAATTTAGCTTAGGTCAGGTCACTTTCAGGTCAAAAAAGGTCAAATTTTGAAGTTAAAATTTTTCAACAAAAAAGGTGTCTATTGGATGCAGTTTGAGCTCAGGAACACGATGGTGCCATTTATATTGGTGTACGATGTCAAATACGTACTGAAAAGTTGATTTGAAAAATTAATAATTGTGAATTTGTTGCAATAATGCGTATAACTTGGCCATTTTTGAAGATATTTAGCTAAAACTTGCTATAGTTAGTCATAATCATGCGTTCTGTCACATATATTCCGGTTTTTTTTCGAAAAGTCAAAAACTTTTTGAAAAAAATATAAAACTATAAATTTTGAATATTATTATATAAAATTTTCGAAATTTTCAAAATTTTGAAAATCCGAGATTGCAGTTTGATAGCGCGGTCAATTCTGAGTCCTTTCATGCAAAGAAATTGGATCTAGCTTAAAATCTGAGCTCTTGGGAGCGATTGCCGTGGTTCAAAGTTTTGCGTCGAAATCGGACGAACATGACGTCACTCTGACGTCATTTCCGGCCGACCTATGGTAGCTACGAAATTCAAACTTTGACAAAAGGTGTCAAATTGATGCAGCCGAAGGTACTGAAAGTTTGGCGTCGATCCGGCAAGCGGGTTGGAAGTTATTGCAGAAAAACGGGAGGGGGGGCTATAAATAGCCCCCCCCAGTGGGGCGCGGGTTAACCCTGTGCACCAAATCATGTACAAATACCTATGCATAGTATTGTCATGTATCGCTACGGTGCAATGACTCAGGAATACGTCATAGGAGCAGTGCCACGCCCCCACTACATGGGGTGCCTTAGCGGCTGGTGGGCGGGTCACGCTCATAGCCTTGACAGACGACAGAGGCTCACTCGCGGTATAAAGGGCGACTCCACGACGGCATCGGCACCAGTTGCTCTCCACACTCGGACAACACACTATCCAACATGAAGGTAAGGTATGAAGATACAAAACGACATGAAAGTTGTCTAATTTCGTCAGCATATTAGGCTAATATCGCAGGAATAGCTATGGTCAAAGTTATCAATGTCTGAACTTTGGTGGCGGCGAGTCATAGTTTTTTTTTTTTTTTAGAAACGCACCATATAAAATGCACTCACTTATGTTCCAGGTGTTCCTCGTTGCCGCCGTGCTGGTCGTGGCTGCCGCCGATTCTCCGGCTCCGTACCACCCGACTCCGGCTCCGTACCACCCGGCTCCGGTCTACAAGCCGGCTCCCTACCACCCGCAGACCCAGTACAAGGAAGAGGCCAGGCCGTTCGCCTTCGACTACGCCGTCAACGACCACTACACCGGCACTAATTTCGCCCGCAACGAGCAGAGCGACGGTCACAACGTGCAGGGCTACTACTCGGTGGTTCTGCCCGACGGCCGTACCCAACACGTCAAGTACACGGCTGACCACTACGGTGGATACAACGCCGAGGTCACCTACGACGGATATGCCGCCTACCCCGAGCAGCACTCTGCCCCTGCCTACAAGCCTGCTCCCTACCACCCGACCCCTGCCTACAAGCCCGCCCCCTATCACCCGGCCCCTGCCTACAAGCCGGCCCCTTACCACCCGGCCCCTGCCTACAAGCCTGCCCCTGCCTACAAGCCGGCCCCTGCCTACAAGCCAGCCCCTGCCTATAAGCCTGTCTACAAGCCTGCTCCCACCTACAAGCCGGCCCCTGCCTACAAGCCCGCTCACTATTAATTCGTTGATAGGTTATTAGTGGAGTGACTGATGATCATTGAGCTATTTATGAGGTGTAAATAAACGCTTATGTCATTGCATATATGTTCTATGCGACCTGCATGTGTGTTGACCGTTGAGCACACAGCGTATTCGTACGTGTAAAAGAGATTAGCCGCATCAGAAAGAAATCCAGATCTTAAGATAGATTTAACGCCGTAGGATTATCAATTGATTCATATCATCAATCTGTACATAGGTATTTACGGATAAGGAATTTTCATGGCTTTAGAACATGTCTATCAAAAGTTTTTGTAAAACTGGTGGTTACCCAAAATGACCTAAGATGCCCTCAGGGGTCTAAGGTGGGGTTACGGGTGCAGGTTTTTAATTCCAAATTTAATGTTAACCTCCTTCACAATGTTTCAAAGTGTTTAAAATAGCCTGCATCCAAAAAAGTTGCAGTTCAATTTTCATCAATTTTCGTAAAAAGGAGAAGTCGCGAAACTGACCTGACCTTAGGTCAACGATATACAAAAATACGAAGTATGTGCAAGATTCAGGAAAACTGTCGCTTTTATCAAGCGCTTAGAGTTCTAAGGCATCAGTCGGCTGGTGTATAACTGTGACGAGCATATTACAACTTTTATTGAGATTAGGTCACTTGACATGATCTGGTAGCACTGATTTTGACAGACTCAGACCTGATATGTTTACTTCTGCAGAAAAGAAGAATTAAAATGTGCCAAAAAGCCTGCGAATAGTGTCACCATTTTTTATTTATTAATGGATAGCCGCACCGAGGGGGTCAAAACGACAAAATTCAAGACAATTGGTTTCCAAGACAATTCAATTTCAAGACAATTCGATCGTGATTGTTGAAAAAACGTGACTGACTGATTCTTGCCAGTAATTATCTTGTCGTGTGTGACAAATTGGTTTCCAAACGTTGGGTCGCTAGCACGATCCCGTCAGAGGTGATGATGCCGTTTTGCACTGCAAAGAATGTCCGTGACAATGAGGCAGAAACGGCTATAGAATGAGACGCCAGGCACTTCTTGGAAAAGATTACTTGCATCAAGAAAACAAAAGAGAACAAAACGAAATAACAACGAAGCTTTCTTATACATGTATTTGCATTGTGCTTCCTATATCAATGAAAACGAACTGTCTTATAAAAAAGACACTATCATACATCAGACTGGGCTCGATATGACTATCAGAACTGCTGAACTGAGAAAGTAAACATTGCAACATGAGTGAAGTCGATCACAAATAGACGATCCGTATGTCCAATTTGTTGATGCACGCTGCCATTGTGCAGACTGCAGTCAATGCATGCACATACATACATATCATGTACACTGCACAGTGTGCAAAAATGTGCGGCCTCCTTCATGACCTCCATGGCCTCCTTCGACCAATTTCGTGACCTGGGGGCGCTGACCTGACCGTGACCCGAGGTCAACACCCTAAGTTGACCTCACCCAAACAAAAAGTATATCATTCGACGCGCCTGAGCGAAGCGAACACGATGCTGCCAAAATTGCGGCTCTGCGGCCCTTTTTGGCGAAGATATTCACCAAAAACGGAACCGTACCTTAGGGCACTTGACCTGACCTCAGAGGTCACCGGTTGAGTAAGAAACTTAAAATCGGGTATCAATCTCTGCGTCTCGTAACGGCGCACACGCTCGTGTTTTCGTGACACGCTAGTTCCACCAGGGGCGAAACGGCGAGGGGGGTCGTGCCCCTCCCCCTCGGCCGGCGCGTATGTAGAAAGCCAATAGGTCCGGCGAGGGCTAAGGGGGGGGGGCGTATTATCCCACTCTCCCCTATACTCTTTCTTCTCTCAATTCCGTATTGAAAACCCTAAAAGAAAAAATACCTATCAATTTAGGTGGATATTTTTAAACCAGTTCCCAGCCGCCTACGTGATTTAAGAAGCAAAAGTTGATATTGCTGAACTCAACTCAACACAAGCAATACATGCCGCTGTGTTATCTCCACGTTTCCAAGCCAGTAACGTGTGAAACAGAGCATTTGGTGGGGTTAACTCTTCCCCAGGCCGACATGTTATCAAAAAACTGACCTAGCTTGATACTTAATACATAATACTTCTTTACCTTAAATACGTAGGCACCGAATATACACAATACACATATGTAATCTCACGGCTTGTCGTTAGCCTAAATAACCGTGACATGGGCATTCGAACACCATGCAGCTGCCAATAACAGATACCATGAGATATTATAATAAACACTTTGGATATAATGGCTTTATGAGAATCGACGAGGCTGAAAACTTCACAAAAAGGTTTGCGTGACAATCAGATAAAAACTATCCCTGATTTTACCGTACCTTAGAATATGATACAAGGCCGCTAAGTAACATACAGGGGTAAAATAAATATCAGAGGAATGACAGGGCCATGAAGCTGCAGGATCAATGAAATGCCGATCTAGAATACACTATCAGCAGGTGCTACATATCCAGGTCGAGCCCGGCGAGTGACCACGCCCGCCTCTAGACCACGCCCTCGCCTCAGCGTATGCCAGCCCCGCTACCGGTGGGCGGGTCAGACCGTGACCTAGACCGTGAGGGTGTCCGCTCGCCATATAAAAGGTGTCGGACCATGGGAGTCGACACCAGTTGTTCTACACACTCGTCCAACTAACCAACCACCATGAAGGTAAGAGCGTTCAGTTATGCATTGACTATGATAGTTATATATGATCTGATCACCATGAGCAAAGTGCAAATTATTTACTTACGTCTTCCCATAGATTGTTTTTCGAGCGATTACACCAAAGTTCGAAGACTGTTTTTCTGTTGCATGACAACTATTGGCCGTCAGCAACCGATGCAACTGAATGCTAAATGAATTGTTTAACCGCTATTCCGTCACTCAATAACGTACTGAATGAATTGTCTAATTTCTTACATGTCATTCCAGGTGTTCCTCGTTGCCGCCGTGCTGGCCGTGGCCGCCGCCGATTCTCCGGCTCCGTACCACCCGACTCCGGCTCCGTACCACCCGGCTCCGGCCTACAAGCCGGCTCCCTACCATCCGCAGACCCAGTACAAGGAGGAGGCCAGGCCGTTCGCCTTCGACTACGCCGTCAACGACCACTACACCGGCACCAACTTCGCCCGCAACGAGCAGAGCGACGGTCACAACGTGCAAGGCTACTACTCGGTGGTTCTGCCCGACGGTCGTACCCAGCACGTCAAGTACACGGCTGACCACTACGGTGGATACAACGCCGAGGTCACCTACGACGGAGAGGCCGCCTACCCCGAGCAGCACTCTGCCCCTGCCTACAAGCCGGCCCCCTACCACCCGGCCCCTGCCTACAAGCCGGCCCCCTACCACCCGGCCCCTGCCTACAAGCCGGCTCTCTACCACCCTGCCCCTGCCTACAAGCCTGCCCCTGCCTACAAGCCGGCCCCTGCCTACAAGCCGGCCCCTGCCTATAAGCCGGCCCCTGCCTACAAGCCGGCCCCTGCCTACAAGCCTGCTCATTATTAGTTGAATGAGGCTTGCTGATTTTTGTAAGATTTTTGTGATGGTTGATATTTTATTTACATACAATCGACATGTGTGACAAATACAGATGAATGTGTTAAAACGTCTTTGGATAGCTGTTGACGGAACTTCACTGAAAAAGAACACCGTTCATTAACTTATTAATTTATTCACTAAGCCTTGCAATTCATTCATGCTTTTCGCTTTCCTAATGACTTCATGGTTTTCAATGAATCAAGAATCGATAGTTTTCCGGAGGCTTTCATAGTGGGAGCTAAAAAGTGGAAATGAAAAGTTCCGAAACATTTAGATCGCGTGGAAAAAATGTGCACATGGTTGATGACACTCCCGTTTAGATCACTTTGGTTCCATCGGTTGAACTTCTAAAATCACCCATGACTGATGTGAATTCTTATGCAATGAAATCTCTTTCATTTCGATCGTTGCGCCTCAGATATATCATCAATGAATATCATAGAGATAGTTACTGTGTGTGACGCCGCGCCGGCCCGGTAATGTCGCAATGTTGTGAAAGATACACCACGGGAACCATATCACTTATCGCGCTAGGTAAAACATGCCCATGTCAGGTTGAGGAACTCTATTGCAGATTGAATAAATGCAAATATTCGTGTAAATACATACGAGTATGCTTTCAGTCGGGGCAATGAAAAACTTGTGCCGGGACAGCGATGCGTAATTCTCAGCAGCACAGAGTTGCCTTCGCAACACTAGAAAATGTTTATTCTTTGGCAGCCAACATGTAGGTACTTCTGATGATTCTATTTGTGATAAACCAGAAATACAGCGATTTGCTCAATGCTGGTGGATTTTGACGGTCAAAATCGGTCATACTCTACAACGGAATGTTTGGTAAGATACGAATAACAAACCACATGTATATTGGATAGTTCTAAACAGATTTATGCAAATATCTTTTGATGTACTTATGATCATTTTAAATAAACCGTTTGGAAGTAATCGAAGGTCTGGCTGCAGCCGAGAGTCGGAGGAGATCAGTCCATTGTCACCAGTTATTGACCGAGAACGAGCAAAGGTAAGCAGAGGAGATGATTACTCACCATTGCATGGCCTATCCGCATATTGTCTTGGGTAATCAACTTTGGCACTTTTCGCTTATAGGCTAATTGTCCGCTGGAATCCATCAGCGATAAGGCATGTTAGATTTAATCATGTTTTTTATGTGTGGAGGAAAGCTCTTTTTTTGCCATGGTGGCTAATAGAAATCTTTAATTTCTACACTTAAAATAATTTAGAAAAACGACTTTCTTTCAGGAATGTAGCTTATCAAACATCTAGATTATTTACAAAATTTCTTATCATCATTAATCATTGGTATAAAAAAAATCCAGCAAGAAAAACCTTACAAAACTGAAATTTTGAGACACACTTGATGCAATTTGGAGCATTAAAATTTCAGATCATCAACCATTAACCAGAAGGTGCTTTGTAAAATACATTCAAATAATTTCAATTGACAATGCATATGCATTCCAAAGGACTCACTCAGTCCTTCGATGCAGTTTTCTCTAAGGAGAACATATCGTGTGTAGCTATGACACAAGCGCACCCTCTAAGCAGCATTTGCATATCCAGAGTCAGTCTTCATTCGATGTATCATTGCTGTATTTCCTCGACTTTCTCTGAACCATCTAAATTCTAAGCATATGGTAATGCAACTTATCATCACCTGAGCTCTGTACTGCTCAACTGAGCTATAACGGGTGGCCCAATAAAAACGTTCCGAACTTCAAAGTCGTACCATTTCTAAATTGTTCATCCAAATGCATGAAATTTCGATGCTGTCCAATTTTGACATATTTTGATGCCATGGCAGAGTTTGGTTGAAATATCTTGATTGTAACGGAATTTATTTGAACTAAAATAAACGTTGTCATTTGCCTTTTTCCTGCCTTTTACAATTAAATCTTAATTTCATTCTTATCCATAACGACATAAGAACGTGTCATATCATTAAAAGCTTGTCATCTAGGACAAAAATAAATATATTAATTAATTTTTGCACTAGTCCTCTCAAAGCTGGAACGTTCATGCAGCGCGTTTATGAAAGGCACCGTCAGAATGCCTTTGCAACAAAAAGCCTGGTGCAGTGCTTGTTTGGAAAAGGAGTTTCAACGCGAAAATGGAACCAACAATCAATCAACATTAATCATTTATTTAAGAGTACAACAAGTGGGGTCGGGGTCAGGATTTAACTAAACAGTACCCATAGGATGTCCACACTCTTAACAAGGGAAGTGCAGAGACGACATCAAGCAGTTGTTATCCCAAGAGAACATCTCGGGAGCCCAGTTCATGGCGAGACAAAAGTCGCCAAAACCTGACTGTTCACGGGAGCACTAACCAGCGTTAATTAACACCCTGAGGGCAAACATAGAAACTCCGTGAAGGAAGTTGGTTACGGCCAGTATCATGCTAAGCATCCCGTATAGTGGAAACGCCGACCAAACTCTGGTCCGCGCTCCCAACTCGCGCGCATATTACTTCGAACAAGGAAAAATGATCGAGGGAAAACCTGATTTGGTCTCCTTTTACTTCCAATGCAATAAAAGAAGAACGAATAGACAAAAATGTTTGAAATTTTGTACGAACAATGTCAAAATGTTACCCTGGCGAAAATGTTAAGTGTCTACAGCATAAGTAACGCTGTCAGTGTAGCTTCAAAGTTCGGAACGTTTTTTTTAGGGGGGGGGGGCACCCGGTATAAGTCATGTCATAAGAGTCCATGCCTTTCCTTTTTACTCTGTTACCCTTCTCCTTAACCCTCGCCGGCCGTGGGGGGGAGGCGGGTGCCGCCCCCCCCCCATTGGTTTTTTCCGCGATAGCTCCGAACACGCTGGCGATAGAGAGCTAAAACTCGGCATACCTGACCTTTGATTCAGGCCGGATCATTTGACAACAACTGCAGTTTCGGGTCAGGTCAGGTCACTAACTTATGACGTCATAAGTGAACCTCAGCACGGTCTTCAGATGTCGCAACTTCGCAACGCCCTCACTGCCAGAGGAGCTTTCACAGGGAAATGAAACTTGCTGGATCTAATATCCATTACGAGTCTCACAGCTTGTATATCTCGGATTTTTCCTAAAGGTCATATGAGGTTAGATCATTTTCGTGACCTCACCAGTCACCATTATAAGTCAATAGGGAAAAATGAAAACTGCTATTCTGGTGCCGGGAACGATCTCCAACTATCTCAAGCACACAAAATCGCGATTTGATGCACTCCTTGCAAGGTAACATGTGTCACTTTTGCAATGCTGACATTGCGTGACGTTATTTATGATGTCATTAGGGTCATATTAGTTTTTCGTCAATAACTCCCGACCAAATTAAGCTAGCGAGTCAGGAAAGCCACAATGGACTCAGGAAGACCTGCCGAATCGAATGATATGCGACATGACCTACATATACTTCGACCAATTTCGTGACCTGGGGGCGCTGACCTGACCGTGACCTGAGGTCAACACCCTGAGTAAGTTGACCTCACCCAAATAAAAAAAGAAATCATTCGACACGCCTGAGCGATGTGAGCACGATGCTGCTAAAATCGCGGCTCCGCGGCCTTTTTTGGCGAAGTTATTCACCAAAAATGGAACCGTACCTTGGGGCACTTGACCTCACCTTAGAGGTCACCGGTTGTTCTAGGACCTTAAAATCGGGTAGAAACTTCTGCGTCTCGTAACGGCGCACACGCTCGTTTTTTTCCGCGACGCGCTAGCTCCACCAGGGGCGAAACGGCGAGGGGGGGTCGTACCCGCCCCTCCCCCCTCGGCCGGCGCGTATGTAGAAAACCAATAGGTCGTGCGAGGGTTAAAGTATTGTGACAGGCAGAGTCAAATAAAAGACTGATTCTTGTGACAAATACAAACGTGCAATTAAAACAAAAAGAGAAAGAAATCTTGAAAAGAGGAAATGAGACAGATTTCGGAATGAGATAAAAGACAGAGAGAAAGAGAGAGAGAAAGAGAGAGGAGGAGAGAGGGAGGAGAGAGAGAGGGGAAAGAGAGAGAAAACCAATAGGTCCGGCGAGGGTTAAATGAGCTCTTATAGTGGTCATAACTGTTCAAAAGGGTTATTTCATATTCATACCTTTGCTGATTTAAATTTTTCCTGATAAGTTTGATCTACCATAAGTGAAATCTCAGTTGTAAAACAAATCGAATGAGGCGGGTTACAACTCAACACAATTTACCAATATGATACCATAAAGGGAAAGGAGAGGATAGAGGAAATCAGAATAGTACAATAATTACTATATTAACAATAGCCGATTAAGGAATGACATTATCGCAGTGAAAACTTTCCATAACCATCAATAAGAAAAATGCAGATAACACAACAAACAAATCACAAAAATCAACTTCCATATATCATTTTGAACGAGAAACCAAACATATTGAAAGCAAACGCACATCCACGCATGAATAAATACATACTACTTGCATGAAACGACACCATCGCAGTACATGGTGTCAGTCATGTACATAGGCATATAGGCACATATTGGCATATAGTTAGTTATCTTATCATGGTATATCAACTTACAAGGAAGAGAGGGATTCGCATTAACTGAGTCGGTACCGAGGAAACCACACTTTTTAGGTCAGCTAACAGTCCGCTGCCACACCCACGACAATGCGAAAGGCGCACCGTCAGAGCAGTGTTGGGTGCGCCAGATTGCGACCTTCACCTTGGGCCCGGGGGGCTGGGTCGCCGTATAAAACGGAACGCCATATGGCGGTCGGCACCAGTCGGTCTCAACACTCCCAAACCAGACATGAAGGTGAGTGCTCCAGGCTCCAATAAACACAGTAATCTACTGTACAAGCGTTCTGATGGAAAACCAGCATTTATTTGAAAAGGAATAAAAAAAATGTTTGCACGGAAACCAATTCAATGAGCGCAACCCGTCGACTGGACCTGTTTCCATTATGCTCTTACATACAAATAGAAGAGCCGTAGCAGTTATGTCTTATCGTTGAG